TGTGACCCCCCAGTTTGAATTTTTAATACGGCAGGAGTAACAACTTTGCTGTTCACGCATTAAAAATGAATGTGTCCATTCCACAGAGTCATCTCTTTACATTCATGCATTAGTTTTCTTTGGAATTAATGAATTGAATTTATTTCAAACAAATGAAATGGGGAAAAAAATAAAAACAAAAACAAAAGAATTAAAAAAAAATAAATAAAAAAAAAAAGAGCATTAAAACAAAAACATCACATAATCAACTCATAATATTAACAAGTTCTAAGAAGGACTGGGAAGAAGTTGACACTTTCACTGCTGACAGCCCTGATGCACATTTATCTGATAAATGTAGGCTTCATTTTATTTATTTTATTTTTATTTTTTTCACCCTGAGTCAGCTGGGATAGACTCCGCCCCCCATGACTACAGTGAGGATTAAGGTGTAGAGATGATGGATGATTTCTGCTCAGGAATAAGGTCTGTTCTACTAACTTGTCCAGACTTTCAGCCCATCTGACGGATCAGTGATAAAAGCTGTCGTCCTGTATTTAACTATCAGAAACTGTGTACAAACTCATAAGTTTAACAGATCCGTTTGTTTCTGTGAGTTCCTGCTCTGACTGAAGGCTGCTGGAGGCTGCTGGAGGCTGCTGGAGGCTGTCCTGTTGTCCTGGAGCTCCTCCTCCTGCTGCTGATCTACATACTTACACAGATCACCTCATACAGAGCAGACTGTCAGTCAGCCAACGCTACAGAAGCATCCACAGCTTCCTGAAGAACCCACTTCAGGTCTGCAGACAAACAGCTGGTTCTGCTCTGAGCCCTGAAGCTGTTCAAGTCAGACTCTGTTGTGTTCATCCTCCTCTGACATCTTTCCTGGGGAACTGCTCTACATCTACGTGTTGTCAGGTAAATTATTGATATAAATATAAACGATAGATAATATTTCTATATTTCGACTCCTTCCATTTCTAATCTGTTTCCCTCGTCCTCTCCTCCCTTGTTAATTAATTTGTTCGGTCTTTTGTTTTTGTTTCTTCGTCCAACGAAACCGAAAGTAACCGATGAGTAGTTCAAGGACCGATGGAAAGTTGGAAATCCGACGTTTCGCCCCGTTTTTACAGTTTCTTACCGTGATAGTGATGCAGTTTTAAAGACAACAGGCCTCCTGACACATTTTGTGTCTCTGTGGTTATTTTGAGTCTTGAATCCTTGAAAACCGTTTGTGCTGTGCACTGACATCTGGTGCATCAATCTCTGCAGACAGACAAACGCCCCTCAGAGGACATGGCTGCCCTCGGACGACCTTTCACTTTAGGAATGTTGTACAACAGCCGGAGAGATGAGCTGATCCCAGGTAAGGGCCAGGTAAACCGGACTACAGTGGGATAAAGTCCTGATCCAGGACAAGTCTGATGTGAAACACATCAGGTAAATGTCTACAGGGACAAAGCAGGCCATTCGTTTTCCAACAGAACGTCTTTGTACGACAATATCACCTCATTTAGAGTATATTTAGCTGCTATGAAACAGGTTTGGACCCAAGTGCAGACACCAGGACTGGCAGAGACAAATCAAGGAACTACAGAGTTTATTTTAAATAATTAGCAAAACTTACAAGAATGTAAGAGGAGCTAAATATCAAGCAACCAAACCTAAAACAAAAAAAATTAAAAATAGGCAAAACTAGAAAAATAGTAAAAATCATCAGAGGGACAAATATATAGAGGCTGACTAGAGTAAACCAGAACAGGGGCACTCACAGAAAGCTGCGAGGGGAAAGGCAGACCGGCTGTGGGGAGGCAGAACAGGTCGGGCTGATGAGGGCTCGGCAGGCTGTGGGCAGGATCGGATGGTGGACGGGGAACCGAGGAGCAGCTGGAGAATCCGAGGCAGTGAGGAGATCTTTCATGGTGTGGTGGTCGACCAGCAGTGGCAGGGACACAGGTAACTGAGGGGAGCGATGAGCTGGGTTTATGGAGGTGATGAGATCCAGGTGAGTCAATGACAGCAGCTGTCACTGGTTGAGCTGATGAGNCTCATTGCTTACTATATTATTAATTGGTTATTTAGGGAATTAATTGATTAATCATCAACAGTGTGTCATGTGACGCAGTTCAGCAAGAGTTCAGTCAAAACCTCTGTGATGAGACCACGACAGGGTCCTGGTGCTTTTCTTTGGACCCTCGTCGCTGACTTCCAGCTGATCGGTGGCATCTGGATGGATCCTCAGAATGAACCTGCAAGAACAAGAACAACATACATGATGTCTCAAACCTGTGTTTCCTCAACTGCCACAACTCAGCGCTGTGTGCAGCTCGATGGCACTGTGGGACGGGATCAGGTGGTTCTGAGACTTTTCATGTTGTGAGTGCAGAGGCCACGTCGCTGTGAGCAGGAGCTTCACGAGTCAGGAGATCACATGGCATCCTGCTATCAGCGACTGGACCTGTGTCACAGATGGTAGCTGCACATCTGTGGTTTCTCCTCGGAGCCCAAACTGGAGCAAACGTGATGTTCAGTCAGTCAGCAGCAGATGATCCAACCTTCACTGGTGACCAGAGGGGAGGCGATCTTTACATTCAGCCTTTAGAAAGCCGTTTTAACTGGCCATTCAATAAATAGGTTGAAAAAGTAAAATCTGCAGTCAGATGGAGAGTCTGCTGCCCCCTGCTGGAAGCATCCTGGAGGAACGTCTGGAGTAAGAAAGACTGTAATAAAACTGAAAATCAGCAACAGCAGAACACTGAACAATCTGTGAAGTAGCACTAAACGTTATTATCATTAATGAATTTAATAATAATAAAAATACTTTTTGCTTTTAAAAATGACTTTTCATTCTGGTCGTACATATTTTGATCTTCAATAACAGCAGAAGAAATCTTCCGTTCACAGATGTACAATTTATTTCAGTCACAGGTAAAGCGAAGCAGCGCTGGGCTTGGAGTGACGGAGCTGAAGGAGCCCTGATACCCGTCAATCATTCACATTTATCCTGCTGGGCTGGGCCTGACCCGGACACAGGTTGGACTCACCACTGTCCACGTGGAAGGTCACTGACACGTAAACAGAAAGTGATCGCATCGAATACAAAGTAAAGGAGTGAAACTATGCAACAGACCTGAGAGAACAGACTTATCTGAGACAGAACCAGGCACGGCCCGGTACAATCTAGAGTGCAGCTCGTATTGAATACACTGGTGAGAAGTGCAAACAATAAGGGAAACGTGTACAGCACTGAATACACGTGACCTCTCTGGACACAGCATCAATCAGAGGTTGTAGATATCAGACGGTCGCTAGCTGGGAGTTAAAATGCTTATTGTTCCACTCAGGGAATCTCAGTGCAGCTGCTTATTTCTAACCTCCAGCTGCACATCAGGGCTCTGAAACTTTAAACAACATTCAGGTCTGGCACTGTCCACAATGAAGGATCCATGGAGATCAGTCTGGACCAATCAAAGTGAGGCTGAAGGTTGACCAGATATCTTCTGTGATAAATGCCATCATAAACACTCATCTGTGTTCTATCAGCTGCAGCACCAACAGCGTGAAACAGGACTCAGCGTTAGAACACGTTGATGCATTTCCTCCATCAACCGTTGCAGCACGAGTGCGATCTTTAGCATCAGGTCGGATGATGCAGTAAACTGCACATTTCTTTTGTCACAATCATGTTAAAATGTGAGAAACGTTTCACAGACAGCACAGACATGAAGTTGTGTGTATTTGCACATTAAGCACGTTTGATCCATTTAAAAGCAGCTGCAGACGAGTAGAAACCAGGAGAGAAACAGTCCGTCTGTCCAGCTTTGAATGGTCTAAATGGACCAGGGGGGTGACTAATTCCTGGTCCCACGGTGGGTTTTCCCAAACTGTTGTATTTACATGCGGTGGTTTTAAGATATACAGTCTCTGGGTAAAACCTGGACCGGGACCTGGCTAGTTCCCGGCTCGGCTGTGGAAAACACACACTAATTCCCCACATGAACTCCTGGTTCCCGTCCCGGTCCCGTGGGTTAACAGGGGGTGTGGCTAATTCCTGGTCACATAAAAACCCACCAGTGGAAACCCCACAGCTGAACCAGTAATTAGTCAGGCCCCTTAATGTTCAGACACAGTGTTAAACCTGGACAGGGTTGGGAAGGGTAGAACTGTGCTTCTCAAACTTTTTGACCCCTAAGATAACATCAGTTTGTGTTTGTGACCCCCCAGTTTGAATTTTTAATACGGCAGGAGTAACAACTTTGCTGTTCACGCATTAAAAATGAATGTGTCCATTCCACAGAGTCATCTC